AAACCAGGGTACACATGTAAACGCTGGCAGCGGTAGGGGATCTTCCGGACAAGAAAACATTGGATTTATAAGGGGAAGCAACACTGGAGGACCATTTAAAATAAACGCCGATCAGGAAATTATTATATCTGGAGGACAGAATGAAGATCTTTTTGGAAATCAGGCTACAGATGTATTTGTGAATGGTGGCAGCAGTGGAGGACTCTTTGGACAAGAGAAAACTGGATTAATAAGGGGTAGTAATAGTGGTGGACCCTTTCAAGTAAATGTCGGCCAGGAAGGTAATATAGCTGGGACCGAACTTGGAAAATCTTCTGGAAGCCAGGGTACACATGTTAACGCTGGCACTGGTGGAGGATTAATAAGGGGAAGCAACACTGGAGGACCATTTAAAGTTAACGCTGATCAGGAAAGTATTAAATCTGGAAGAAAGAATGAAGGACTTTTTGGAAATCAAGCTAGGGATAAATTAGTTAACGGAGGCAGCAGTGGAGGACCCTTTGAACAAGGACAAATAGGATTAATAAGAGGTATGAACAGTGGCGGACCCTTTCAACTAAATGTCGGCCAGGAAGGTATCACGTCTGGAAGCAATAGCGGGGGACCTTTCGGAAATACTGGAAATATGCCTGGCGAGGGGTTGGTAAATGGACACAACACTGGAGGACCGTATGGACAGGCAAGCGATAGATTCATACGAAGTAGCAGTGTTGAAGGACCTTTCAGATCTAACAGAGGCATCATATCTGAAAACCAAAACGGCGGACCTTTTGGAAATCAAGCTGGAAATGGTTTGGTTAACGGTGGCGTCAATGGAGGACCATTTGGTAAAATAGAAGGGGGTTTAATTCAAAGTGGCAGCAGTGGAGGGCCTTTTAAAGCAACTGTCGAGAAGGATAGTATCGTATCTGGAGGCCAGAGTGGAAAAATTTTTGGAAATAATGGATTGATTAACGCTAGCGGCAGTGGAGGACCTTTATTGTGAGAAATATGTGTATTAAGCAGAGGCTTCATAAAGATCAAATAGCTTTTCTGTTGTACATTATCTTTTGATTAAAATACCAAATGCCATTGAACTTTATGCAGGCAGCTGTTTTATTTTTCTGCTTAGTTAGATAGGAAGCAGTCCACAATTGTTAAAATTGATTTTCTGATTTATGTGTCTGTTTTTGCCGCAACAGCACTGGCAACGTCAAAGACAGTAGCGGCAGCAGCAGTATAGACGTCGCCTTCAATTCAGCATCGTACTTAACATTTGCCCAGTCCAAAAATGCAGTCAAAGTTCTGCAATATGCAACAGTGCCCCACACTGTGCCCATCAAACCCAACCTGAACTGGCAACCTAACATTTTTGTGCTTGTGCAGCCAGGCGTTGATGGAGACATTCGCCAATGGCAGCGAGAGTGAGCGGGAAAGTGTGTACCCTCTCTCTCTCTCTCTCACTCTGTTATCTGTGCCGCACATTTCTAGCTGTGCTTTGTGGCAATTGTTGCTGTTGTTGCTATATTTAGCAGCACAGACGCAATATATATAGAGTTTAATTGATTGGAAAATCAAATTGATTCGATTCGAACAACAAAAGCAACTTCAGCCCTCACATCAGCCACACAGTGCGAACGGTCCAGCCTCGGGTGGACCACAGCACTCGCCAGACCAAACCCACTCCCAGCAGGTTGGTCGGAACCTGTGGCATGGCTGGTCGCAGCTCATATATTTGCCACAGTATGCAACTGCGTCCATTTTAATGGTTCTCTATGTCTATGCATTATTGTTGGGCTTTTGATCATGGTTTGGCCCCTGCTATGGGCTTGCTCTTGTTTTGGTTTAATGGGTCCATGTGTCAAAAAAAAAAAACTCCTGCCGGGAAAGTAATATGCATTAGAAGTTAAAAGAAAATAAATAATAATGCGTAATATGAATCTAAACAATGTTCACGTAAATACGCTAAATGTGATCATAAAATATTTATTATATATATATATATCCATTGTTAAAACAATACTTCATGATATTACCTTCTGATTAACTGATTACGGCGCACATATTTTTAATATTTGACATTATGAACTCTATTTTATTATCCTGAACAAATTTGCCTAGTTGCAGAAAGTATAAAGTTACAATAAATCTATTATGTGCTATAATGATTTAGAATCATAAAACATAACACTCCCAGTTATCTTTTTACTGTGTAGTGTATCTAGTATTCTAAAAATAAATGTGTGTGCCGTGTTGAAGATCAGTATATTCGGTAAATAATTGTAATCGGAATTTTCTGATATAATTATGATCGAATTAAATCCAAACTGAAATTAAAAAAAAAGTTTACTCATATTCAGTACTTATATGTTTCTCTCTTGTTGTTGTGATAACTCCCACAAATTACTTTAAAAACATTGTATAATCGCTCTCTCTGTCTCTCTCTTCCTCTCTCATGTTGTCTTTCCCACGTCCAAAGCCAGTCAACAGCTCAGCTATGCATTAACAACATCGCAATACCTGTTTAATTTTTATTGTTCAACTTGCTGCACAGAGTCGAGCAAAACAAAATAGCCACAAAGCGTTAACTGCAGTTGGGTGGTGGCAGTTGTGGTGGCGGTTGGAGAGGAGAGGGGCGTCAACAAAAGCTCACAACCTGCTCACCAAGTGAGGCTAATGTGACTGCTCAATGAATGCCAACAGCCGATATGTTTAATGGGCAGCAATACAAAAACTTTTACGAACTACCGAAAGCCAGAGCCAAGCAATTCAATTGAAAATAATTAGCAGACACATAGCGAAACTTCTTAATTGCCCCAGCGTGTGAAGTGTGAGGGGCGGTACATGAAAGAGAGGCGAAGAGAGAAGAAGAGAGGATGTTAACTTGGCAGCCAGTCAAAATACAACATAAGTACTTTAGTCGGAAGGGCTCGACTATCAGATACCGTCTATTTAGCGACAAGCTGCCGTAACAAAGACTCAAATTTCCTTGTCTTCGGTTTCGGTGTTTATAGTCCGATCGTTATAAAATTTACAGGGCTTGGATATAACCTAAAAACTCTGTGTGTAAACTTAGAACAGCGCTATTATTGATACATAATTTCGGCTATCGAGTGTTAAATTTTCGGGCTGCTCAATAATCTACATATTTAATTTTGTGTCTAAGATATGTAGCATATATTTTCCCACGAACATACTGACAATTAGGCAGACGGACGATTATCGATTTATACCCTTCTCTAAGTAACTTTCAATAAGTACAGGGAATACAAAATTGTAAACAAATACGTTGATGTGTAGGCAGTGATAGCAGACACAATCAATCGCATTATGCATTTACTTAGGTTGTCTGTCTGCCCCAAGACATTGTCCGAGTCTCCACGTGTCCCGCGTGCGCTCTGTGTATGCTCTTGTATAAATTCGCGTTATTATTTCAAATTCATTCATTTGTGCTTCTTGCCTTGACCATGCTGCATAGCCATCAATTTATTTTCCTGCTCTGGTTGCTCGCTGCACTGCTCAGCGGTAAGTTGTCCTCTATACTAGATATGTGCATATATGTAGATGTGAATGTTATATTACAGATGTCAATGGCCTGCCCTTTTCGTTTAATTGGGGACCCTCTGCGAACCGGGGACCCAGCGGCGGACCAGCCTGGAACGGTGGAAGCGATCAGTCAACCGATAATATAATTCTACATTCAAACGGCAAATGGCGCTACTAGTTGACTTTGGACCTGATTAATGATATGATCCAATTAAATATATATTTTTTAATTGCTTAATTTAACGGATTTCTATAAAAATAAAAATATTATTGTTTTCATGGCTTTCTTTTTGTTGTGGGGGTGTTGTGAATTAAAGATCGACGAACAATATTGCCACTCATTAGCATATGATTTACGATTATATAATCACCGGAATTCATTTGTGAATGTTGCTTGACATGCATAATATACCAATTTTCACATTGTTTAATAATTACCAATAGGAAAACTCACCAGCTGTTAAAAAGGATTGTTTATTAACAAAGGTTCACTTTTATATCATGGTTTCAAGTCTAGCAGCTTATGTTTCTGTTCGTAAGCCTAGTGTTTTGAGTTCGTTGTTTTGTTCAAGTTTGGTTTGTCTAATTCAGAGATACAAAATATATATATACTCAAAATATTATTATTATCAGATAGTTTATATATGTGTCTGTGGCTTAATGCTCAATGTGATTCATTTAAATGTTTTGATATGGCTAAGGTTTAACGTATTATGTAAGATTTATGTATTGCTTGAATAAAAATTGAGTAGATGGTTTGACTGAAGGACAGCCAAAAACTTTGAATTAAATAACTCATATTAATGCTTGATAATATATATATTAGTAAAGATTCGATTACTCTTTCACCTGGAAAGGGCATTTAAAGTACGGCCTGTATAGAGCTTAGCTTTTTCCAGTTTACTTTTAATACCATTGTGTTTGTTGTAAGTAAATACACACACTAACACATATACATATATATGTATATATTTATATACATAGGCAAACAAACTCTCTCTCTTTGTCTTACGAACTGATAAGCCGTCAGATTATATTGTGTATTCCCCATCTGAGCGATACACTTCTGACCCAAGTATGTACGAGCAAATCCAAAGAAACGAGTATTGGCTTAAGTACAAATGCAAACATTTGCCACGAAAGGGATTTCCCAAGTGCTGGCAGGTATATATATATATATATATATATATACTATCTATATGTATATGCATCTAACAAACATAAATAAATACATATAGTCTACATTTACACAGTAAAATTTATTGGGGTAAAACTTAAAACTATATTATAAAAAAAAAAGGAATTTTTGTTTAACAATAAGCCTGAATACCAATTGTATTTAATTGTTATTATTTTTTTGTACTTATCGCGTCGCTCTCAATTATTTACCTATTTCAATTTTTGTCAAATGGAATTCGTGCGACAGTTTAATTGATGTGCACTCGGTTGAGTTACTCATCAGCATTTCGTCACCTAGTTCGTAGCACTGAGAGACACCCAAAGTTTTGTCGTTTGTGAGGTGTGAGTCGAAAACGGGAGTCAGTTTAGAGACGATCTCAGTTCGAGCGGTAACCGCAAATCGTGTGGAAGCGCAACGCCGTAATCGTCTCTGGCTTTTTCCCAGAGGCTGCACCGCTGACCTCTGTCTGATATCTACCCACGTAGTATATTTAATAAACAACATATAATACTCGATCGATCGCTTGTATAAATAGCGGGCTTTTAGCACTGCATTGATATAGTCAACCCGTTGCACAAAATGAACACGTATCGCGCTCTGATGATGATCGGGCTAGTTGCACTCGCCGTCTGCTTGGCCAGCGGTAAACACTCAAGTATTTCTCCCAAGACCTGCGACTTATTCCACAATTTAATAACTTACAGCACAATCAGCCGCGACGGATAAGCCCAAAACGGATGTGGATCGTAGCAACAATGGCGTGGAGTCATCCATAGCCGGCACAGCGGAGCTGCCAACCGCGCCGACGCAAGCTCAGCCGGTGTCCAGCTATCTGTATAATCAAGGAGGAAATGTTGTGCTGCAAAACGAAGCTGGTAGCATCTACACGCGCCCCGATGGACGTAAGGTATTGGTTGGAGCTGGCGGCCAGACGATTGTAACTGGAGGCGATGACAGCGATGAGGATGACGATGATGATACTCAATCGGGATTTAGCGGCAACTACGGCAACAACATTGTCATCAATGGAAGAAGTGTTGGTGGCTCGAGTTTTATTTCGAGCAATGGCGGCGCATTGGTAATGAACCAGGCCGGAGAGGGTGGCTACCAGACATACAACAATCACCAGATTCGTATTGTCAACGGCGGTCTGCAGCTGACCACCGGCGGACAGGTGTATGATTTTCCGGCTAAAGATGCTAGCGTCAGTTCCCAGGAGAAGATCAACATCAATGGCCAAGAAGCTACAGTGCAGTACGAGAATGGCAACATTGTTGTGGAGCTGGCTGATGGCACAGTGCTGGCCAAGGCCGATGGCGGACTCTTCAGCGGCGATCGCAATTCATATGTGAACAGAAAGCAGATTCAGGAGGATGCTGCCCGACAGGCTGCCAAGGTTCAGGAAGACATTGCACAACTGCAAAAGGAATTGAATGAGCGGCTCAACTTTCAAATGAGGAAGCTACAGGAAGATCTAGAGCACACCCTGGGCAACATTCATTTCTAGTATATTGAATAAAATGTGAGCAGTTACACTGCATACAGCTTTGCATATACTCAATATTATTTTCAGTAGCTGCTCAAACACATTTTATATACTACTTATTCATGAGTGTCTATAACTTATTGTCGAAATAAAGTACATATTATCGAGCTATTGTAATGTGCATTTAAACTGACATGTTTCAATTTCTGCTGATGACGTTATTCTACTTTGAAATCATAAGACGCAATTGAAGACAATTCACTAACGAATTATACAGAAATACGGCAGAATATTCAATTGCCATGCTCATGCTCATTTGTGTTCAGGGTTTTGTTGCGAACACGATTATTCTGAGAAATTTGTATTCAAATTAAACTTGCTTCACAAACGTAAAACCTTTTAAGGTTTGAATAGTATCGTTTGAGCATGTTATTTTGTGTTCATTTTAATTGTGTAATAATTAATTAGTTATATATATGTATATATAAAAGCACGCACCCTACAATTGCATAAATTAGAAAACGGTTGTGATATTTTAAGAGCAACAATATGTCTTACAAATCTTATTCCAAAAATAATGTCTGTAGTTGTAAGAAAAACATTTTTCCACAGAAATATAAAATTTTATCGCTCTGCACAGGCTCAAATATCAGAGATACTAGAAGGCCTATATATATGTTTGCAATGCATATTAGGACAATATTATAATTATCTTGAACGTAGATTGTACTCGACTTAAATGTTTCTACATATGAAAGTCCTATATAGTTGTATATAGTATATGACATAATGTTTCTGGTAGTGCTTCGTCTTATTCTTTATCCATGACATTTGGAATACTATGACAAAGTAATACATATTATGCACAATTTTTCTGCTGAGTCTGAAAAATGCCAACCATGTGCCCTGCTGTTCGTTCTACATTTTGCATTCATACTAATTTCAAAGTGCCATATATCAGTGGGCTTGGAGTTGGGAGCGAAGGGGCAGTCAACCGCCCAGCTGCTGGGGCCACGCAAATTCCACAAGTGACAAGCGCCTGGCAGCACTGCCATTGCCACCTGTAGACGTAGTCGTGGATCCATATTCAGCCCGTTTCTAACCCCATCCTTGTTGCTGGCAGGGCAATGTGTGTGACAAATGTGCGTCAAGTTACTGGCAACTTATTTTACAATGGGGCTCCCTCGCACTGGCGCGTCCGCTAGCAACTCTTAACTTAACTCTGGCAAAATATTTAACTTGGCGGAATCTTTTATAATTAATTTGCCAAACTCCAGCTTCTTATACCCTACATGGTTAAAGGTGGTATGATGGTTATCAGGAGGAAAAATTTAGTCTATTTATACCCGTTCATCTTTTGAGCTTGACTTGAAATTTGAAATATAAATTTCTTATATGAATATTGATCTTTCTTTTAATATCGATAAATATTGATATTTAAGCTAGACCTTAGGGCATCAAACTGGTATATAGTGTCTCGTATAGTATAAAGATGAATATTTTATTTTAAAGGTTTCCAGGTACAGGGTATTTCCTAGTCGAAAACATTATATTTTCTTTGCGTTGATACATACCTCTTGCGTTTGGCTGCCTATTTTGAAGTTGCCTCAAATTTGTGCTGCAAGCTTTTGGTATTTGTAGCTACATAAAAGTGTGGCATAAGCTATTTTGTATACATTGCACCTAGAAAATGGGTGAAAATGTTATAACGTACATAAAACTTAAGCGAATTTCCGTATATCTGGCATTTAAAACCTGAGACTTTTTAACTAAAACATTTTTGACAAGTAAGAGGTATTAGTCGGAAGCTCCCGACTAGGGGATACCCTGAACCCTCTTCTTCCAACATCAAATGCATATATATATTCTATTTTAAAATCAACAATCGCTTAGTATTGATTTGCAAATTCCATTTTTTTCTCCAAACGAATTTTAGCAGGATTACGCCAGCTAAGGCTAGACTCGCCTCGTACTCCTAATCAGTAGCTGTTATATTGGCTTAAACCAATCTAATATTCCCTCCTATTTCTATGGAGACCGGGTATAATTATGACCAAGTCGATCATTAGTTTCGTTCCACCGTGGCGTTTTACGCAGTCTCTTATGTAACCGAAAAGGATTTAAATGTAATCCACTTAAGAGTGACATGATCAGTGTGTAATTGATCTGCTACAGGATGAGATGTGTGTGGATTTTACCATTTCTGATGGCTGTGCCAGCTCTGATTATGGAGGATTCGACTGATTCTAATATTGCAAAGAATAGTGTTAAGGGGGGTGAATTTCCAACTGCATGCCCATGCGGCAAATACCGTGCAAGATGGCATCACCTTATGGACGGAGAATCATCATGGCTTTATTCTTTAAGCGAAAGTACCGAGCATAAGGAAAACCCTAGACATGGGCCTCTTGATAATGCCTTAGACTTTTCTACTGCAGATGCAAGCACTGAAGAGTCATCTAGTAGCGAGGAACTCGAGGATCATAAGAAAACGCATAGATATAGGGCTAAGCATAAGAGGTTCAATTGCAAATGTCTTGAACCTTTTCAAAAGGCGAAAGAATAATAATAGGGTACATATGGGGCATGAGAAACGAATTTGTTTGTATTTTTCTAAAACTTTCATCGAAATAAAAACCAAGAGTCAAATGTACCCTACTTAAGATATAATAAGCAATTACATAACCAGTGTTATTTGTTTCAAAATGAATAGAGAGTTTATTCAGTTGTCTGATTGCATCTGAGAATATCAGGAGCCCGACTGTATATATTCATTCTTGATCTTAGAAGGAAAACATGATAAAATATTTGAACTAAGACTGGAAAATTTTTAATGCATTTAACTCAGCAGTTCAAATTACATGATTGAATAACAAAGGCTGTTAGTCTCAGTGCACCGTTGCGTATTGATTAAAATGGAAGCGATAATTGTATTGTGAGCTCCTATATCTGCAAGTCAATTAGTTTGTAATATTTCGGCAGCAAGATGAAACCTATTTCGCTCGGGCTCCTGATAATGGCTGTATCGATTGTGGCTGTAAGTGGTGGAACATACCGTTTCGAATTGGACAACTTTATGTCAGAAGAAAGCTCCTATCTTCCCGGCAACGTTAAGCAAGTCAAGCTTGAGGTTAACCCTCAATACGCACAATCTATGCCGGTGGACTATATTAAACATCTAAATGATGTCTTATCTTCTGGGAATTTTCTTGAAAATGAGGCTCCTGAAAATAATACAAATGGTGGGAAAACTAAATGCGATTCTGTATTTAAATTCGATGTTATCTTTTACATTTTCAGGTAATGGAGAAGATCTAAATGATGCATGTCAGAATCAAACTCAAAGTGGAGAAACGGGGCAAGAACAAAATCTTAAGGATGGTACTGATAATTCGGCAACAATTTTTAAGACTGATATTCGCATTCAAATTTCTTCAAAAAATGAACAAGGAGAGAGCAGCTCTTCCGACGGCGTTAGTGAGGAGCAGAATGAAAAGGGGGCTAAACAGAACATTGATAAGCCTTGTGCTAAAAAAACGATTAAGAAACATCAAAGTTCGTTAAACAGAAAAGAAAGTCAAGGGAAAAATGATTGCGGCTGCGAAATTTGTACGCACTCTTGAAATCTAGAAGCTTCTCCAGTTTCTGCTATGTGTTAATATGCAAAATACACACATTCAAATTTATTGAAGACTAAAATTAAAATTCCAGCAAAATGCCCTAATTTGTAAACAGCAAATTTGAGGACCTCAAACCCAAAAATATATTTGATATTTCTTCAAGCATTTTTTATTTTGAATCTAATTATTTGAAGGAAAGAAATTCGGGTTGTTTTTTTTTCAATTGGAATTGTGGAACTGCAAACTCGAACTGGTTTTTCATTTCACGATTAACATCAAGAATAATATTTCTCAGTTTTGCAGTGTAAACATGAAAATATTTCTGCTGCACTTTTAATGCTTCAGCTGCTTGCAACTTGATGGCATAATTTTGTGACAGTATTTATTTTCTTTTCTTTTTTTTTTTTGTATTTTGCCAGGAATAGTGGGCTGCGCATAAAGTTGTCACAAGTCATTTAAACGCCTTGCCACCTGCAAAATGGCGTCCAAAGTGTCTGGTTGTGTGCGTGTTAAATGAAGCATGAGTGTGAGCGTTGCTTTAAATGGGGTGTGCGAGTGTTCGACTGTACGAGTGTGTGTGCGTGTGCGTGTGTGTGTGTGTGTGTGTGTGTGTGTGGCAACTGACACAAACTTGCCGCTAGCTTGCATTTTGTAATTCTCACACATTGCGCGAAAATGAGAAAATGAGAACAGTTCGCAAATGTTGCTGACAGCGTCGCTTAGCTGCCCCCTATTTCACATACATACGCATCTAACATACACACACTTACACACACACACACAGGCACAAATAAATAGTTACGCTTATGCAAGTGGGAGTTGTTGGTTATATGAAAAATTAAATTAGTTCTACCTTTTGGCCGACACGCTTAATTTGCTGCAAATGAGCTGTGACAAATGCAGATGCGACAAATGTCTGCATTAATTAATATGCCTATTATGTGGCTCCTAAAAGCTATATACAAAACTATGTATACGGCATTCTTTAATTATTACAATTGCTCTAGTTATATTTTGGCCATATTTAAGTATGCTGGCTACACTCAACGGTAGCTACTAAAAGCGGTCAGGAACACAGGTCAAGCGAAAACTGAACGAGCTGCAGTTGCTTCCTCTTATACTAATGGAAGCTTAGCAGCAGCTCCAAAACATATAATAGGGTCACTTTCAGCTTTCATATTAGATATAATAATGTGATAGTAATATAATGCAATAGAAACTCTTATTTGATACACACTATCATTACTCCGCTTACCATGTCCTTTAGTTAACCTTTATTGAAGATCCCCAAAAGTAACTGAAATCATTATACTACGATAAAACCCACGAAATCATGAATAAATTCATGCTATATTTCTTTCAGATTGGAAATTACATAAAAGGTAGATGTATTTGCTTAGTAAAAACAAAAGGTATCTTAACAATTCCAGTTTTGCTTCATAAGAATCTAGCTTAAATATTTTGTCTTCTATGGAACTATAGATATCGATATTTAATTTGTAGATAAATGGCTGAAAAAGGATAAGGTTGTCAAATATACTCCAATCATTTGGTATAGTGAAGCTGAAA